CACTTACTGCACCAGCCCCTAAAGGCATCCACAAGGACCCTGTACTCCTGCTCCTCATTGTTTCTGATACAAGCCACAATAGCTGTATCATCAGAGTATTTTTGTATGTGACAGGACTCTGAGTTGTATTTAAAGTCCGCTGTGTAGAGTGTGAACAGGAACGGTGCTTAAACAGTTCCCTGTGGAGCACCAGTGCTGCTCCTGACCATTCAAGAGACACAGCTTCCAAGCCTGACATACTGAGTTCAGCTCTGTCAGGTAGTCTGTTATCCAGAAGGTCAGGAAGCGATCTACTCCCATCCCCTCAAACCAGTCTCTCAGTATGGGCGGCTGGATAGTATTAAAAGCAACAGCATCAACATTAAAATACATCAGTCAAGTGCAATCTAGTGAAATGCGATCCATCAGTTCCAACATGTTTTACCATTTAAAATAGCGTATAGTATAAATATAGTTAAAATTCATTTTTTATTTCAACGTCAGCATTCCATACAAGCAATATAGTTTTTACATCATCGTACAAAGTTTTCATCTGCCATAATATCTATTCAGGTTTAAGACTAGCACAGTGAAGTGTTTAAGTGCAATAAGATATGTACCTGAGATTCAAACTTTCAGGGGAAAAGGAAGGAAATGAAATGCCAATAATGATAGAACGATAAATGTGTATTTGTGTACATACAAATATACCCGTTTGACTGCATGTACAATCATTAGTAAAAAGAGAAGAAAAAAAGGGAAAAGCAAGAGAAGAGAAAAACATTTAAATAAATAGAAAAAACTTAAAAATATATAAGTAGGATGGGAATAGAAAGGGGATATGGATTTTAGAGTTCCCTTACTGCATCAACAAACTTACTTCAGCCCAGCCAACATTTGTACGCAGGGCCCATCTAGGTAGTAAATGGGCTGAAAAATGGGCCCTACGTTGGACTGTCCACTGGTTCCATATTGGCCCTGTGACATTTAGTGGGTTTACTCAAATAAGATGCCCATTTCAGACCCATATCCACTTTGATCTCAGGTAGCCCCAGCACGACCCATGTTGGGCCCACTTGGGCAAACCCATCCATGTGGGCAAATGTCATGAGGCTAATATGGAACACATGGACAGTCCAATATAGGGGCAAATTTTCAGCCTATTTACTACCTACATGGGCCCCACACACAAATGTTTTCTAGGAGGACTCCACTTTTTAATAGATTTTAGTCTTTGCAACCTCAATGCATATGTGATTGGTTCAATCTCACACAGTTCCCATATTTGTTTAATCTAGATGTTGTATGTTGGAGGTTCAGGATTCAACCATCTAACTGTGATACATTAAATCGCAGCCTGCAAGAGGATTTGTATTGGATACATTTTTGCCGTCCCCCAAATCGATCCCTCCCTCGGATCGCTCCGAGGAAAATCATCCTTGGATCTTTGGGGATATTTTGATGGAACACTGCTTTCATGGCATCTGACACATCCTTTCAAAAGTTGCTTAACTTTGGGCAGGACCAAAAAATATGAGTGTGGTTTCCAGTTTGTGGGCCACATTTTCTCCAACACATCTTGTTGTCATTTTCCATTTAAACTCTCAAATGTGCCTCACTGCACATTTCCCTCCAGGTGTCTGGTGATATGTCAGAGTTCGATTCGATCTCCCATTTCTCCTTCATTTGTAAGCTGTGTTTTTGGGGTATTTGAGAGGAGTACTGAGTATAATTTAGCGATTACTCTTCTAACCTCATTCCGGATTTGGATTCTTGTGATGAACTGTTCTGTTGGAGTTGGTTTTTATAATAAGAACTTTTTATATTTACAGTTTATTTTTCTGAAAATAATTTTACTTTAGTAACAATTTTAAGAAAAGGATTTTTACTTGTGCTAGAGTATATCTATACTGGTGCACTGCTATACTTCCTCCACCACAGCACCAAGCACAATGCATGACAAAGACGATATATAATATACATATAATAATTAATGGTATATTGTATATAAATCATGCATAGTCCTCTGGATATTTTCCAAGTAAGTTCTTACTTACCTTACTGTAAAACTTCAATTAATAGCCCGGCCTATTATTTGCTTAAATCGCTGAAATCAACAGGCTTATATTTGGGCCCACTTGGGCAAACCCATCCATGTGGGCAAATGTCATGAGGCTAATATGGAACACATGGACAGTCCAATATAGGGGCCATTTTTCAGCCTATTTACTACCTATATGGGCCTCACACACAAATGTTGGCTGGGAGGACTCTACCTTTTTATAGATTTTAGTCTTTGCAACCTCAATATATGATTTGTTCCATCTCACACTGTTCCCATATTTGTTTAATATAGATGTTGTATGTTGGAGGTTCAGGATTCAACCATCTAACTGTGATACATTAAATCACCGCCCCCAAGAGGATATGTATTGGATACATTTTTGCCCTCCCCTTAAACCGTTCAGGGATTGCTCCGAGGAAAATCACCCTTGGATCTGAAAGACAGCTCTTCAGAGAGAGCATACGGCACTCGAGGATTAAGGCACCTGCCATACTGACACAACTTTATCCTGTATCCTTAAAACAATACTGACAACTTGGATGAATTTTATGAAAAACCTCTTGATTCCTGTGATCTGAGGACCCTTACAGACTAAAGGAATATGAATAACTTACAGGGTAATCGAGGGATGGACACACAATCTGAGGTAGCCAACAACCCGCTTTTACACATCCAAAGATCTTCTATGAAAAAAATGAACTGCTTGGCAACCAGACCAGGCGTCTATTTGAGACAGGTGTTCATTAGTCAAAATGTGTAGCCACGCCAGGCTAGTAAAAGGGACTGGGCACTTAGTTGGGACAAGTCTTTTAATTGAGGTTTTACGTTTATTTTGTAATGCAGAAGTGTAGCAAGCCACTGCAAAACCAGGAAACCTATGATCCTTGAAGTTCCCATCATTTTCACTTCTTTGCCAGTAACTCCGCCCTGCATTGCTTCCTTTTCTGTTATTTTGTGCAGAGACCTGAATAAATTGAGCATCACACATGGAGAACAGCACATCAAAGGAACTATTGTGTTCTCTCTTGGGGATGGGTGGAAGCAGTTTTTGTGAATATCTGTTCTGTTTATGCAAATTAACAAAAACCCAACAAACATATTTTTGCCTTGATATGTATATTGGATTAGTTTGTTGGATTTATTGGGAAATGTGCTACAAGCATTTTATGAAAACATGCAATGGACCTGTAAATTGATACATATTTGGTCACAGATCCCCTTTTGATTAAATTTCACTTCAGGGACCTCCATCTGAAAAGGCTATGGTTGTTAGATATGATTAAGACCAGAATTCTGTAGTTGTCAACGATAGTTGAGGATATAACCATGGAGGAAGCGAAACTCATGTTTAGTCACTCTTATGACTCTTACTCACATTGGGCTTGCTTCTATAGTGAATCAAATAGTGAAAATAAATGTTCCTCATTTTCTGGGGACCCCTGGAATTCCCTCGAGAAGCCCCTAGGGACTGGGTGTCCCCGGACCGCTGGTTGAGAACCACTGATCTATATCGTAAGAGGTCAAACCAGGTGATGCAGAAGAGTGTGCAGACAGACTAAAAATGTTCTCACAATGTTGAGTTGTGAGACATGTTTGACTGCACAGAAATACTTATGAAGAGACCTCAGACTCTGTTTGGACTTGTAGGTCAAAATTCCAATTTAGAGTCTCCCATTAACCTAACCTGCATGTTTTTGTACTGTGGGAAGAAACCTGAGTACCTGGAGGAAACCCACGCTGATACAAGAAGAACATGTAAACTCTGCACACAGGTTCACACACCCCACCCTGGAATCAAGCCAAGAACCCTCTTGCTGTGAGGTGACAATGCTAAGCACTGCACCGACATGCTGAAAAGATAAAGAAAGATAAACAACCTTATCACAGTACATTTTTTACCCTATTTGCAAAATGGGATGGTGGGGTCTTTTTTACACTTTAAAACTACAATTATTAGCATGAAAGCTGAATATTTTTCTTTACGGTACAGTGGTGTATTCATGGAATGATGTGATTATGGAGGTGGTGTGACTGGCAGTCAGTTAACCCATGGATGGATATCTGAACAGGCCCACCAGACACAGGCCTAGGGGCCCAAAGTGTCAGGGCCCCCTGCTTACCTTCACCTGCAAAACATCACACAAATGAACAGAGACACAAGAAGACCACATGACATGCAAAGAAACTGCAAAGAGACACAAAATAACCACAAAGAGATGCAAAAAGCAAAAGCACCACAGTCTGAGTGTCTTGCTCCTACAGTATGTAGAAGATGTAGTGACGGCCATGAGTTAACCTCATCATCACATAGGGAACATGTTCCCCTTAATATTTAGAGCATGACCCCTGCAGTGAAATGGAAATAGCAGAGGACTTTCATTTACACATTTACACCACAAATTTGTTCATAAAACTTCACTAGAATGCAGGAAATTGTGTGTTAGATGCTCAAACTTTTCTGGTGGAGGACCCCTTGACCCTGCATTTCATACGTGTCCACCACCAATGTTGAAACAAAACTGCTTCCTCTTGGTTTTGTGTGTACAAGTTCTCTTTTTTTTGGCCATATTTATTCCCAGTTTACTTGCCTGACACTTCTCGTTCCGGAGAAGACCAACAAGAGCCATATCATCCCATATTTGAACAGCTTGACTAATTTATTTACTTGCATATTTTTTGGCTACTGAATTGTATTATTTCAGTGGGTGGGTTCTCACAATATCATCTGAGGACCAATCAGTGCCTAGAAATCCTGGTGAAATAAAGGTACTGAAGGAGTTAATTAGCTCACGAGCTCCTGCGCAGCACACACACACACACACACACATACTGCTGTTTCCATTTAAGATCCTCAGTCAGCAGAAAGCCAGAGGAAGTCGAGATGACCATTGCTTAACCGCTGAATGATACAGCTCCTTCTACATGTGTAGCTCATTAACGTCTTTTTTTCTGACAGTAATTGTGGTTAAAGTGACAGGCATCAGATGAATAGAGACTCACTGTGCTCTTTGAGTAAAGTGTGGTTTTCAGGCCAGTGGATCCATCATCACGGGAAGAGCCTTCAGTAAAAGGTGGGGCTGCATCATCACATCCATGTGTGTTCTTTCTATCTGGTATTTGGGAGTGTGGTGCATAGAGTTTTGCTTAATTGCTTAATTGTTGACCATAACTGTCCCTTGGTAATGATGAGGGATGTGGGAATTGTGATTTGGCTGAAAACCAGAAGTGCCTTAACTTTTATCACACTTCAAATTCAAACATGTACTCACACTGTTCAACTAGAGGAAGCAGGAAAGGAAGGAGGAAGCAACCTTTTTGAAAACACAGATAAATGGAAAAACAGTCTGTATTCCATTTCTAACAAACTGTGCACCAAATATTCTTTCAAATCCACACAGACACATCATGTCAAGCTCCTCTGACACCCTACAGTTTCGCTTCCCCTCCCACGGTGACTCAATCCTCAGCAAAATGAAGACTCTAAGAGAGGAACACTGCTTCTGTGACATCACGCTCCTCCTTGGGGATCCACAAGGTGCCACTGTCCAGCCTCCGTACTTCCACGGTCACAGAGTGGTGCTTGCAGCCTCCTCGGACTTCCTACGTGACCAATTCCTACTCCATGAGGGCCAAGCCGAGCTGAGCGTGGGTGTTGTTTCCAGTGTGGAGGTTGGCGAGAGACTTCTCCTGTCCTGCTACACTGGGCTCTTAGAGGTACAATATGATCTACTGCTTTCTAAACAGAGCAGAACATCCCATGTATAAATCATTTTACAGCAGGTTTCCTCTTGCACAGTTCAATCGAGATGACATGACTGCAAAACAGATTGTTAGAACAAACAACATCAAAGGTTACAGTCAAAACAAACAGAAATAAGGACCAACATTAGAGTGTGTGATGTGAAAGTTAAAGATGACTGAGACGACTTTACTCACACGTAGTTTTGTTTTTGTGTGTGTCTTTAAAGTGTGCAGGTAGAAGTTTCGCTTTAACCTTGTGTTGTTAGTTGTTTTTCCTGTGATATTATTACCCTGGTGTCCCGTAGGTTCCTCTGAGGGAGCTGGTGAGATACCTGACTGCCGCCAGTGCACTTCAGATGAGCCAGGTGGTGGAGAAGTGTGCCCAGGCCATTTCTCAGTATCTCATTCCCTCACTGGCTTTCTTGAAATTGGAGAGACACAGTACCTGGCCAGGCTTCCAAAATCAGGAGGAAAAGGATACAGCCAAGCCTGGCACCAGCAACCAGGAAGCGAGTACAGAGGACGGGGGAGTGGTTGTTTTCCAGTCGAGGGTCAGCCAAGGAGGTGAGGTGGATGTACAAGGACTGAGAGAGGTCAGAGATGATGGGAGGGTGGTTATAGCCAAAATAGAGTTATCTGAAAATGTAGCATGTTGTCTCGATACCCTGGAGTCAGAGGAAGGCGAAGACATCCGGCCTGTTCACACAAACAAGCCATCCTGTCAAATTTGTCACATCAATGGTGCTGAAGTATGTGAGCTGCCCCCTCCCACAGCTGTCCAAGATCATTTGTCGTCAACAAGCAGAGGAAGTTTTGCTCAACACAAAGATTGGGTGGACAGTACCCAGAACCACAATGAAAGCGCAGGGGAGGAGCAAAGAAAAGAAGGAGAAATGTTCCTGCTGGAACTGCAAGATTATGAAAAGCTGATGGACTCAAATCTAATTCCCCTCTCTGCAGCACATTTGCCAACGAGTGATTGTTCAGGAGACGAGCTGACAGAAGATGCACGCAGCATATTGGTGCAGAGGCCGTACCTGTGCAGGAGGTGTGACAGGGTCTTCCAACACCTGGAGAGCTATGTGGGCCACCTGAAGGAGCACAAACAGTACTTGTGTTTGGTCTGTGGCAAAGGCTTTTCTCAGAGGAGCAGCCTGACCTGTCACATACGCATCCACACTGGGGTCAAGCCTTTTCGCTGCCCGCTGTGTCACAAGACATTTTCCAAAAAGGCCACGCTGCAAGACCACCTCAATCTGACCACAGGGGATAAGCCCAGTAAGTATCGATACTGTGCTGTGCACTTTGCGCATAAGCCAGGCCTTAGGCGCCACCTAAAGGACAGTCATGGTAAGAGCCTGCAGGACATGCTTGAGGAGGCTGTGCACTGAGGATAGCAGTTTTAGCACAAGTGGTGTTAACAAAGGAGGCTTAATAGTTATCTATTTCTATATTACATTGAGAACATGTCATATAAGGTATCAGGAAGCACATTAAGCTACATAACACAGATTGCCCTGAGCTTAAAAATATTTTTATTGCAGATTTTCATATTATACAATCAGGAGACTGTATCACACCTACCTGCATGTACCTACCTACCCAGCCCACCTGCCCCCCTGACCTGCAACTCTAAATTAGAGTTGGCCATTTTTGACATTTGCCAATGAGGAAAAGCACACAAAGGAACAAAACAAGAGCAGACAGACAGAGAAACACAACCACGCAACAAGTTAAGAGATTAGACAATGAAGGGTTACATTCTCAGCTTTTATATATCTTACAGATGTGAAGAAAGGCTGCCAAGTTGCAAAAAATCTCTAAACAATTGGGGCTGCAAAAATTAAATAAATAAATGACTTTATAAATAAATTAATATGCCATTACATGTACCAGAAAAATAGAAGAAAATAAATGTGGGCATTAATTAATTGATAAAAATGTGTCTTAAATTGATTTCTCTGTTGTAATTTCCTTTACTGTCACTTACTTTTATTAATTACTCATCATCAATATATTTTTTAAGATTCTTTTACAAAGATAAAAACCTTGTACACATACAGTACAGGCCAAAAGTTTGGACACACCTTCTCATTCAATGCGTTTTCTTTATTTTCATGACTATTTACATTGTAGATTCTCACTGAAGGCATCAAAACTATGAATGAACACATGTGGATTTATGTACTTAACAAAAAAAGGTGAAATAACTGAAAACATGTTTTATATTCTAGTTTCTTCAAAATAGCCACCCTTTGCTCTGATTACTGCTTTGCACACTCTTGGCATTCTCTCCATGAGCTTCAAGAGGTAGTCACCTGAAATGGTTTTCCAACAGTCTTGAAGGAGTTCCCAGAGGTGTTTAGCACTTGTTGGCCCCTTTGCCTTCACTCTGCGGTCCAGCTCACCCCAAACCATCTCGATTGGGTTCAGGTCCGGTGACTGTGGAGGCCAGGTCATCTGCCGCAGCACTCCATCACTCTCCTTCTTGGTCAAATAGCCCTTACACAGCCTGGAGGTGTGTTTGGGGTCATTGTCCTGTTGAAAAATAAATGATCGTCCAACTAAACGCAAACCGGATGGGATGGCATGTCGCTGCAGGATGCTGTGGTAGCCATGCTGGTTCAGTGTGCCTTCAATTTTGAATAAATCCCCAACAGTGTCACCAGCAAAACACACCCACACCATCACACCTCCTCCTCCTCCATGCTTCACAGTGGGAACCAGGCATGTGGAATCCATCCGTTCACCTTTTCTGCGTCTCACAAAGACACGGCAGTTGGAACCAAAGATGTCAAATTTGGACTCATCACACCAAAGCACAGATTTCCACTGGTCTAATGTCCATTCCTTGTGTTTCTTGGCCCAAATAAATCTCTTCTGCTTGTTGCTTCTCCTTAGCAGTGGTTTCCTAGCAGCTATTTGACCATGAAGGCCTGATTCGCGCAGTCTCCTCTTAACAGTTGTTCTAGAGATGGGTCTGCTGCTAGAACTCTGTGTGGCATTCATCTGGTCTCTGATCTGAGCTGCTGTTAACTTGCGATTTCTGAGGCTGGTGACTCGGATGAACTTATCCTCAGAAGCAGAGGTGACTCTTGGTCTTCCTTTCCTGGGTCGGTCCTCATGTGTGCCAGTTTCGTTGTAGCGCTTGATGGTTTTTGCGACTCCACTTGGGGACACATTTAAAGTTTTTGCAATTTTCCGGACTGACTGACCTTCATTTCTTAAAGTAATGATGGCCACTCATTTTTCTTTAGTTAGCTGATTGGTTCTTGCCATAATATGAATTTTAACAGTTGTCCAATAGGGCTGTCAGCTGTGTATTAACCTGACTTCTGCACAACACAACTGATGGTCCCAACCCCATTGATAAAGCAAGAAATTCCACTAATTAACCCTGATAAGGCACACCTGTGAAGTGGAAACCATTTCAGGTGACTACCTCTTGAAGCTCATGGAGAGAATGCCAAGAGTGTGCAGAGCAATAATCAGAGCAAAGGGTGGCTATTTTGAAGAAACTAGAATATAAAACATGTTTTCAGTTATTTCACCTTTTTTTGTTAAGTACATAACTCCACATGTGTTCATTCATAGTTTTGATGTCTTCAGTGAGAATCTACAATGTAAATAGTCATGAAAATAAAGAAAACACATTGAATGAGAAGGTGTGTCCAAACTTTTGGCCTGTACTGTATATACATGTATGCTCACACCTAGAAAGGGTACGCACACATACATATTGCAACAATACACAAACAGCACTTGAGTACATGAGAGTCCCTCCAGATGTTACAAAATGATCTTGTCAGGATGCAGCATATGATTATGGTCCTGTACAGGGTATAATTATGCTGTCCCAGTTTCATGCAATAAGTAAGATACATCATTGTGCTTAATATACTGAATGTATCGCCCCCACACTCTCTGAAATATTTCTTGTTTGTATATGTGATTTTTTTCCCAATGGTAAACGTAAAGACACATCTTTGAGCCACTGTGCAATACTCGGTTTGCCAGTCTTTTTCCAAACTCTCTTCGCTTGTAATATTCCCATTTTCATAAAGGTTTATGTTATGTCCTTCAGGGTATAAACCCAATAGGAAAAATGTTGGTTCCATCACTAGTCTCACTGACAAGATCTCCAGTATTATTACTCAGATTTTCCTATTTATTTACAATCCTCTTTATTTTCCCTTTTGTGAATTAATACATTCATTCATATAGTTTTTAACTGATTTAAAAATGTATTCATTTACATTTATTTTTGCTTTTTTTCCCTAAACCCAAACACTACCACCCCTAGTGGGGACCTTTTCCTTCTTCGTCTTTTTTTTTTTTTTTTTACTTTTTTACTTTACTTTTTTCCTCATTTTATATGTTAATTATTCATCATTGTCAGTGTCAGCAGGTGGTGATTACCTACAACACAACCAATAAACAAACAAACAGCATCACTCCATCATCACATAAACAGAAACAAACTAACAAACTAACAAAAAAAAACAGCAGACAAAAACTAAACAACATACCTAACATGACACATGGACAAATAGTCATACAATAGAAATTTCATATACAATAATTATAAACTAGCTTAACCGCAACAAATACAAATTGACTAAAAAAAGCATTCTTGAGGCGATAAGACTAAGAGTATAGTCCATTCACAGTTTTAAGTCTGGCTGCACATCTTTTCTCACCACCCCTCAGCTTCAATAAACTTTTCCCACCTATCTAAGTAACCTTGGTTATGTGTATAACATCCTCTTAAAGTAAACTGGGGGTTAAGGAAGCCTTTAATCTGTAGATGTTAAAAAAATCTACTCAAGTTGCTTTATGAATGAACATTTTCCCTAATAATATATATAATTAACAGTATAGGTCTTTGTTTCTGTAACATCCCCCGACATCACAGAGAAGAGATGTAGCTCCGGGTGTAAAGTTATTTTTGAGCACATTTTTTTACCCCCCCCCCAAAAAAAAAAAAAGCGGATACAATATTACTATTATATTATTTTTTATCTAATTATTTTAGATGTATTTATTCATTTTTAAATGTATGTATTTATTATAAGTCCCCTGGCAAACAAAGTGCAAAAGGCCAGCATGCACTTGGATCCACACCCTGTGTTGCAACACCATATAAAAGGCGATGGATCTATTGGCTGCTCTAATATTTTAGAGACAGCATTAAAAGCTCACTGGCAGAAATTATGAGGACAAGGTATCTAGCCAATAGAAAGGAGAGAGGGTCCTTCTGTACCTTCTACAGTGTAGTCCTGATCTCTGCAGGTACAATAGGCATTAAGTCCTCTAGTATGCAATGCACACATTTCATTATGGTATATCATTTTCCATGTGTAATAGTGAATGCAATCTTGTAAAGAGTCGAGCTGGGCATTGTTTCAAGCAGCTATTGAGAGTCCTCCTGTAATGTGTGTCTCTGTTCCCTCTACAGCCAGAGATTACTCTGCTTTACCAAGAAGATAAAAGAGAGAGAATACTGAGACAACAAGCAAACACTGCTGTATATTACTGCAACAAATTCTGGAGAACTGTTTACTTGATATAAGAATAGTTTCAAAAGACTATTAATCATCTTGTTTGCTGTTTTATTTAATAGAGTGAATACTGCATACTGTCTTGAGGCTGAGGTTCACAGACAGCCTTCACCATTTGACCCGATTGAAATTTTGTGCAGCTCGCTGAGCATTACGTTATAAGTGAGTGGGTTCTCCTGCATGGCTAAGAGGGTTTCCATGCTCCCTCGCTCCATTCTCTCCCTTTGCATCTCTCCCTTTCTCCCTCGGCCCAGACATGTAATCGTCACTCATCTCGGTGAATGGAACAGTAGCTGTTGTCCTCCTCGGGGTGTCCGAGGCTACACTGCCTTGAAATTTGTGAGTCTGTGTGCAGAGAAATGATTAACGCGTGGTGGGTTGTGTATTGAGTACAGAAATTAATGCAAGTGTGTGTCAGTGTGAGCAAGGAAGACAGAGAATGCACAGAAATAAAGTCAAAGAAATAAAAAAACATGGTTTTCCACTTGCATTAAGATATACGGTCGTATCTTCCTCAGAACAGTTACATAATACAGTAATGTGAGCAAACTACAGTCAGCCATCGCTCTCATTTCTGAACATAAGCCATGCTTTATGTTTGATGTTGATGCAATCAGATAAATAAATGATTTGATCTGATGTGGTCCATGCACACGTGCACACACACACACACACCCACACAAAGAGGATGTGGCTTTTGGGGCACCTCCATTATGAATGAGCTTGAGGAGGATGATGGCAAAGGGGAAGACGGAGGAGGTGTGGTAGATACGGACACAAGGATTGAAACAGTGATAAAGAAGAATGTTAGGATACTGGGAAAAAGATAT